TGTGGGGCTGGTAGTGGGAATCCCAAACCACCTTAATCTGCTCACTAAAGTCTATGTGTCATTACCTGGAAGTCACAGGCTGGTGATATCTGTAACACTTAGATTCTGCCTATGGGTGAGATATAATTTTTTTCTCTAATTTTTTAAAGCCTTCTAATGGAGACGAAACAAACATGGTCTTTTGTGTTACTAGTTCCAGGCTCATTTCACATTTTTATTTGATATTCTGGCCATATATACAGAGAATTAAACAATGAAATGGTTTTATATCATTCTTCATTTTCAAGAATTCATTTTAAATTTTAAAATTAAAGATTTTTAAAAATTATAGATGTAATTAAGATGAAGGTGACTGGGATTCTTATAAAGAGGGGAAATTTGAACACATGTGCACTATAGGAGAATGCCACATGAACATGAAGGCAAAAATCAGGACCATGTAGCTACAAGCTAAGGAACGACAAAGATTTCCAGGAAACCACCAGCAGCTAGGAGAGAGGCATGGAACAGATTCTGTCTCACAGCCCTCAGAAAGAACCAGCCCCACGGATACAGTATTTTGATCTCAGACTTCGAGCCTTCAGACTGTAAAACAATCAATTTCCATTGTTTAAGTCTCCCAGTTTGTAGTATTCTGTTCCAGCACCTTAGAAAATTAAAACAAGCTCAGATAAGGTCAAGATGCAGAAGTAATCAAGAAACTACTAACTACTGTTAGAACCTTTTGAAAGACTATAGAGAAGAGGAAAGGGGCCAAAGCACCACTTGTGGTATAATTTTAAAACTTTTAAAGTCAAGGGACGTGAATTCCACAAATCAGATAAGTAAGCTTATGATGAGCCCATTAAAATTAGTAAGCAAATTAGTTGTACAACAACTTTTTAAAAAGTTCTAATATGGGTTCACTAAGGATAACACTTTTATTGTTGATTCAATTACACTGGTAGATTAAAATACGTGGACTTTGTTCATTCTGAACTTACAAATCTGAAGAAACCTCTCCCAATATTCTTAAGATCAAAATGGAGAAATATGCAGGAAATAACATGCGAGTTAGACACCTTCATAACAGGTTAAACAACCACACCCAAAAAGCGTTGATTAATGAAAAGATGTTAACTTGAAGAGAAGTCTCAAGTTGTATGCCACAGGGGCTACTTTAACCAGATTGAAAAGAAATATGCAAAGCATGTTTGTCAAACCTGTGGATGATACGCAGCTGACAAGGATACCTGACCCTTTGAATGGCTGAGTCTGGATTTCATAAATCATCCAACTGATGAGCCACTGAAGGAACTAGAGATGTTTAATGAGGAGATAAGGAGTAATGGAAGGCAGGTACCAAAGTTCAAGAGTGGAAATATCGAAGATGTATAGGAGCAATAAAGTTCTTACAGGAAGAATTTGACATCTTAGTAAAAGAAAGAATATTTCTACCACTATCACTCTAGTTCTAATTACTATATTTTACTGAACTATTATTGCTGGATTCCTCATGTCAACTAGTTTCTCCATTTTTTCTCTTGCATTTGACAATCAGTTTTCTCAAAACAAGCCATCTTTAATACATTATAACCAAAATGACTTGCTGTGCCATTTTAAGGTTTGATTATGGTCATATTTAAATTTTTACTTTATAACAGGCCAGGACTCTCGCTGGCACTAGACATGCAGTCTACAAACCATACTGCAAGGAGTCAGGAGCACTAATCAGTTTGCTACCCTCAAGGCTTCAGTTCTTCTATCACCCATCAATGCTGGTCTCATCTGTCATGGCCCCATCCTGGCTCCCTAGTCAAGCCACAGTGGCTTGATGATCAGGTTTTACGTGGTGCCCAGCTCTGTCATGGGTGTTCTCATTCTATGATTCACATTTGAGTATAATCGGCCACTCTTCCTCAGCATCCAAACTATCCTGACTATATCTACACAATTTTCCAACATCAGCCCCATGAACTCAAAAGCTCTTCTTGGTGTTGGGTCCCAGCCTGAGTTTTGACTTTCTGTCCTCAAGGAAATTTTTCCTCAAGCTAATTTTTTTTTCATGATTCCCACTGCCCTTTTCTTTTTTTTTTCCCACTGCCCTTTTCTGAGACTGAGTTTTGGGTGGGACCACACAGCTCCATCCCAACAGAGACCAAGAACTAATGTTCTTTCTCTCCCAGGAAACTCTAAGCATCTTGTGTAAACTGACCACCTCCTCCTCCCCAAGAACCAGCTTTACAGAGCAGAACACACCTGTATTCTCAGGGAGTGGTGGCCTTTGATTAATGAAGTCAGAAAGCTTTCTGTTCTAAAATGATGGCTGTGCTCTTGCTTTACATTTGCTTAACTAAAGAAGTCATTTAATTAATACAGACAATCAGCCTTTCTAAACTAAAAAAAGTGCCACCCCCCTCCAAAAAATATCCATAATTCAAATCCTGCCAACTCAGGGTTCAAAATTTTTTAATAGCCACTCATGTGCATTAGGAGAAAAATCCAAAATTCCTCCCATGATCTACAAGAAAGTATTTATCAAATGGCTCCTTCCTACCTCTCTGGTCACAACATGTACTGTCCTTCATCTCACTCACAAATACTAGGCCCAACTGCCTTCTTTCATAGCGTTAATCAACAAAAACACTGTTCTCCTTCCTATGGGCCTTGCACACATATATACTCCAATGCTCTGTGAGTTTCCCCTCCTTACCTTCTCTCTAGCTAAAAGTTCACCTCTTCTAAATATTCAATATAAACTAAGGCCCTAACGTTCTCTTTGGCCTCCTACACTTCTTTTTTTCATAGCACCTATCACAAAACCTCATTAACACATTTCTGTGTGTGCTTACATTTTTTCATATTTTCCCCACACTGGAGTATAAGCTCTTTTAAGGCCAGAGCTGTGTTTGTTCTATTCATTTACTACAGAATAAGTTAAATGTCTGGCACATAGTAAACAGCTGGAAATACTATTATTAAATAACTAAATAATAGCCAGAAGTGTCCAAAAACAGAACCACCAGTTTTGCAGTCTTGAGAAACATCTTCATTGTACATCAAAGGTTTTGCAGAAAGGATTGCTGAGTTACAAACATCAACTAGGTGAACTCTAACTTTCTAATTCTAGAACTAATACTTTGTAAGATATAGGCTGATACAGATTATAAGAAGTAATTAGCCTCCAACTAATAAAAATAAATGAAAAACAAATTAAAAAAAAAAAAGAAGCGAAGGTCATGATAAACCTAAGAAGCGACCAAAGGTTTCAAAGCTGAGGTAGAACTTAAAGGAAGTGACTACAAGATAGAGAACATCCGAGAAATTTTTCAGGGAAACAGTGAAAAGGAAAATGAGAACCCCGTATGTGAGAAGATCAATCTGACTTCTTTTAAGAGAGGCATGAAATATCAAGCAGAAATGGTAAGGTCATTTGATAAAGGGTTTGAACTGAGTTCTGATTTCCATCTCTTGATCAGAGGAGTGCTGAAATTGGAGTCATCTGCCTAGGATGAGTATGTTAGAGGGAAAAGGAGCCAAAGGTGAGTGGCCAGTGAGCGGCTACTAACCCACCATAATTATTATGAAGTAAAGACTGGAGTGACAGTCTTCATAGATGACCATTACAGACATTGAGATACTGGAGAGAGGCTGCAGCTCCCTCAAGCACCAGCAGAAGAGAGCTGGCAAGGAACAAGCTGACCTTCAAGAGCCCAGACGGGTACTTGGCATTTGCTGGGAGCTGGAGATGAGTTACCAGCACAGCCACCAGGGGTACTGTTGAAGCAGTCTGTGCCCCCAGTGGCCTGGGAGAGGAGTTTCATAGGGAGACAGAGGCTGCTATGCATCATCTGAGACAAGCTAGCTGGCTAGCTGATAGCATATTAGGCAAGGGGACACTCATCAAACTGTCTTTGTGGACAGAGTCTAGATACTCGTGGGACTTGGGGCTAAAAGCTATTTACCAAACCTGCACAAAAGCATTTTGGTATTAGAGCAGTCAGCAAAGCTATACCTGTAAGTGCTGGGTCAATGTCAGACCTGGGAAAAGAAAGTTTAAAGTGAGACAAGCAGGAGTAGGATGAGAGAGATCAGGATTAAACCAAGAGAAATCTTAAAGGAAAAAAAAAATTAAGAAACTAGAGGAAAGGTATGAGAAAGAACATTCAGTGATCAGTGATTCCAATATTTCAAGCCTAAAGAACCATATGGAGTTGAGGGTTATACTAATGACAGATAAGGTATTTTGGAAAGAGAATAAATTTGAGTGCAGTGGTATATAAGAATTCTGAGTTTTTAGTATTTTGAGTTTAAAATGTTATTTATAGTTATTACTAAACATGCTAAATACAGCTAGAAATATTAATCTTAAGTTCAGACCTGAAGTCAAAGTTTCAGACGTCGGGAAAAACTAAGGAAAAATGAGGATAAATGTATAAATTGCAGATAAGCCTTTTAAGTGCATGCATGCTCAGTCACTCAGTCTTCTCCGACTGATTGCAATTCATCAACTGTAGCCTACCAGGCTCCTCTGTTCATGGAATTTTCCAGGTAAGAATACTGGAGTGGGTTGCCACTTCCTACTTTAGGGAATCTTCCCAGCCCAGGGATCGGACCTGCATCTCCCTCACTGGCAGGCAGATTCTTTACCGCTAAGCCACCTGGGAAGACAAAGCTCATAAAAACTGAACATCATAAAGAATGATTAATAGAGAAGTATCTTTCAGAATAAAGTAAATTAAAATCAACCAAAATATACCACAAAATTAAAAACTATGGTGCTACACAAGCACAGAATAAATCATTCAATAAACCCAATATTCATTTAAAATAGTGATCCTCCACCTAGGAGGCACACTAGAATCATGCATGTAAATCATTTAAATACATTGATTGCTATGGACTAAATAGTATCCCTTCCCTTCCAAATTCATATGTTGAAGCTCTAACCCTCAATTTGATGATATTTGGAAATGGGGTCTTTGTAAGATCACTGGGTTTAGATGAGGTCATAAGGGTGATGTCTTCATAATGGGTATAGTGTCCTTTTAAGAGAAGACACCAGAGGGTTTTCCCTCTCCCTCTGCCTTATGAGGACACAGTGAGATGGCCGCTATGTGCAAGCTGGGAAGCTTCTCTCAGCACCAGACCCAACTATGCTGGTATCCTCATCTCAGACTTTCAGCTTCCAGAAATGTGAGAAACTAAATGTCTGTTGTTTAAGCCACCCAGCCCAAAGTATTTTGCTATGGCAGCCTGAACAGATGAATACACTGATACTTGAGCAGTTAAATGAGAACCACTGAATTAAATCATATTGAAAGGTTACAGAAATAAGGGTATCTAATTTAGTCACTCAACTAATTTAATTGAAATATTTTAGTAGGAAGATCTATGACCTAGGAAAAAAGTATCCAGCACATAACAAGCACTCTAGAAATGATTGTTACATGAACAGATACATGAATGAATGAGAAATGCATACAAGCATAACTAAACAAAACGATCTTGTGAGAGAACACATATGAAGTAAAATATCACAAGCTGAGAAAATACAGAAACTTAAATACTCTTCAATGAAAAGATACATGAAAATAAAGATTATTCTAGATATTGAAAATAGTTTTAAACATTATTGAAGAGTAAATTCTTACTTTCACAAACTTAATTGCTAAAAGATTGACCCTAAAAATAGATAATAATATCTAAAAACATCTCTAGGAATTGTAACTCAAGCCTGAGCCCCCCAAATAAAGCTTCAGATAATTATATATAAACTATGGTTTTCCCCATTGATTATCACAGCAATAGGTTCTCATTATATAGAATCAGTATATACAATATAGATAAAGCAGCATCCACAATCTATCCCTACTTTTAACATTCTAGCATGTCTCTTTCTGTTGTTTCTTTTCAAAGAAAGTTGAGACCACAAATGGATAGATAAATTATGTATTATTATCCTTTTCAAAGAATTGAGATGGTATATAAATAATACATATATAATACACATTATATAATATATACTATTTGCTCCTCTAAAATAGTCTAATCACTTCCCATTAAGAAAATCTTCATCACGTAATTTTCTAATGTTACATAACACTTCTTTTTATGTAGTAACCATAATTTACTAAGCATTGTTTCCAAAAAGTTTCCAATAATAAAGCTTCTGTGAACATATTTATGCATAAAATTCTGTCCATATTTCTAATTACTTTCTTAATATTAGAGTATTAATATGAGGCATTAATAGGTAAAAACTCATTATGGACAATATACAGGTCTTGATACACACTGTAAAATTTCCTTCCAAAATGAGGTACCATTTGTACTTCTGTGAGTATGTGTATTGTGTGAAAACTACAATGTTACCAATAATGTTATCAATGAAACCAATACAACATCAGCAATGTAAAATAATCTCAGTAATTTTAATCCTTTTTTAAGTATCATGGCTGTAACAGGGTATTTCATTTTTAAGTGTGTATTTCATGCTTGCAAATAGAAATGAACATTATTTTTCTTTTTCTAATTTTTAAAACATTATAAAGATGAGTTTGTCATACAAGTTATTATCCCCTAAAATTAAAAACAAATTTTTGAAAACTGCCAACTTAATGTCAGTCACTGAAAGGTGGAAGTATTACTTTTTTCCTATTTTAAGACTGAGATAATACACTAAATATGCAGTAAACTCAAGGCTGAAGGCAGACTTCATAACAAGGTAGTTTACTGTACTCATTTAGTACAAGTGTGGAATCATAGATGTTCAAGTTAAATACAGGAATTCTAGAAATATTCAGTAGATGGAGAGAATGAGACTTGTAATATAAATTGATATGCAATATTTTAAAACATTTCATTAGTGAATAATCATAGCTAAAAATTAAAATAAAATTCATTCTCTGCTATAACTACCAGATAGATAAGAAAAAAATATAAAACTCTGCACAGTTAACCAAACAATTATACTGTATAATATGTATAATACCAATTCTCCTTCTCAGGACTTTTTAAATCACAATTACTTTTGCTGACAGATATTTTAAATCCATCAGGTTCATACCTGATTTCATATTTCTCAACTACCCAGAAATCTCAGCATTTATTCTTTCTGTGCAGCACATGAGTTACCTCAGGTAACTTTTAGAATCAATCATACCCATGAGATTCTATGACTTAGTGAGATATAATCAAATGTAATTAACAAATGCTTGCATCCGGATTTCTTCATAAACAAGGGGAGATACTGATTCCTATACTAGAGAATACTGTATTCTAGACCCTGGCACATAGAGCGTACAGAGGCTCAATAACTGTCAATCCCTTTCCTTCACTCCTTCCTCTCCCACCCTTCCTTCCACCAGTATATAGTTGATGACAAATCAGTTATTTGTGTGTAATTAAATGTGATAAAATATGATAAAAATCACATGATCCTTCACCAAATATCTTTATACTCCATACTCCATTACTGTTAGATACAATTTGCCAACATACAGGATCATATCTAAGGACACTTTTTTGACTCAATATTGAAAAACAAAAGACACTGTGAATTATACTTTTTTTCAGTTAACACATAGTAATTAATCCCAGAAAATCCCCAAGTTAGGTCAACTATATCATTCTATATTGGTGGTTCTAGTCCTTCACTATCAGAATTATCCAGGGAAATCAAAGGATCATTATAGATGCCTGAACCCACCTCTGAAGATTTTCACTAAATTGGTCTGGGGTGGGGCCAACCGTCAGTATTTTTTTAAAACATCCCCAGATGATTCTAAGGGCTTCCCTGGTAGCTCAGCTGATAAAGAATCTGTCTGCAATGCAGGAGACCTGGTTTTGATTCCTGGGTCGGGAAGATCCCCTGGAGAAGGGACAGGCTATCAAGTTCAGTATTCTTGGGCTGGTGGCTCACATGGTAAAGAATCTGCCCACAATTCCGGAGACCTGGGTTCAATCCCTGGGCTGGGAAGGTCCCCTGAAGAGGGACATAGCAACCCACTCCAGCATTCTTGCCTGGAGAATCCCCACGGACAGCGGAGCCTGGAGGGCTACAGTCCCAGGGTTGCAAACAGTCCCATTCGACTGCATGACTAAGCATAACACAGCACAGATGATTTTAATGTGCAGCCAGAGATAAGAATCATTAATCTCAACTCAAAGGAAGTAAATTACAGAGGAGTAAAATCAAAGGAAGCAAAGGAATAAAAGCAAAGGAAGACAGTGAAGCAGCTGAGCCTAAGAATCCAAATCTCCACTTTTAAGAAATAGAAGAAAAATCTCACTCTAGAGTCTAAAGGGGTTTGAGTCTGATGTCACAAAACCTGAAAATATTTAAACACATTATTGAGGCAGATACTACATTAATCTCCATTTAATCTCACACAAGATGCTGATGGTCAACAGTCATCCTTACTATTGCTCCCTTAACTAATATTCCCTTTGCTTCTTATTCTAAACAAACAAAAAACCGTTAACGACTAACATAAAAATTAGCAATCACTTTTCATTACAGAAGAAGAAATGTCTTCATAACTAAGTTGTTCTGATACAAAAAATGAAGAGTAAAATATGAACAGAATCACTGCCTGAGGTGACGGGCAAAGAGGTCCCAAAGCAAAGCACTCTCTCACTCTGTCCTGGTTAAAACCTGTTTGTCTGGGGATTGGCTCAATTGCACCAGTTCCAGCTTCCCAGCCTTCCAAGGCACTGACGCACTGATGTGACCTCAGTCATCTCTTTGCTGGAGCTGGATCCAACTAACAAAATCCAACACATGCAGGCACTTGTTTCTCCATTTTATCCAGTGCCTTCAAGAGCAGCAGAGAACCAGGAGTCAGTCATCCCTTCTAGTCTCGCCCTGGATAGTTTTTATCCTCAATCTCTATAAACACTCTCCAAAGGTGATCAGGCAGATAAACACATGAATCATCCGCAACAGAATGATCAAATGGAGACAAACAAATTATAATATTAGCTAGCTGGATTATAGAGCTTTAGAGAAGAAAAGCATCTAGAATACCAATTGAGTTTACCTATCACTGAAGATCCAAAGGCTTATTTTGCTGAGGACTCTACATGAGGAAAGTTACACCTCCTCCCTTGCACCCCTCCCTCCTCCTTTTCATTTGCAAAGATAAAGAGAAAACAGATTATTAAAGAGGTGGAAGAAGGAGAAAAACGCCTTAAGTATTGCCTTATGAGATGCCAATACTATATACATATATCTTGAAAGCTGGTAACTGTGTCCCCATGATGAGTTGGAAAGCCTTTCAAAAACCACATCTCATTCCCCTTTTGAGATGAAGGATCCTACCTTATGAACAGTATCAACTATAATTTGAACACATTATCCCTAAAATTTTGCAATAACTGGTAGGAACAGACTCTGAGGTCAACATGTATCATGAAGACTCATCTTATTCCTACACCCACTTATCACTGGAGCAAACACTTGAGTTTTCCTTTTCTACACCTAACTAGCTCCTGATTTTAGCACACAATACACATAAAAAATTAAAATCTACTAAAATTAACATAATCTCTTTTCTACATTACTATAAAAGTACGTCCTAAGAACCTGAAACATAAATTAGAAAACACCATATCCTATTCTAACATACAAAATTTATGTGTTTAACAACCCCTCCCTGCAATCTTCGACTTTAAAATGAGGGCAATATGAAACCCAGGGGCTTCCCAGGTGGCCGTAGTGGTAAAGAATTCACCCGCCAATGCAAGAGATATAGGAGACACGGGTTCCATCCCTGGGTCAGGGATATCCCCTGGAGAAGGGAATGGTAACCCACTCCAGTATTCTTGCCCTGGCGGGCTGCAGTCCATAGGGTCGCAAAGAGTTGGATATGACTTAACGACTGAGCACAAAATGAAACCCACCCAAGTGCGATTTTATAGCATTAAATGAGATAAAACAAACCTCTAGTACTTGGCATATTCTAAGCCTTTAATAATGATATTTATACAGCCGATAGTAAAAGCTCTGCTCTTTTAGATGACATGAAGAGTTGGCCCTCATTTTCATTTTAGTTTCATTCATAAAAATCATGTGATATTCTACACAGGTAGGTTAATGATATAGGTTGGTTTGGGGTATGTTTATATTTTAATATATAGCATTTAAGGTAACTGACATGGAACATATAGGTGCCTTTCCTTATGTTATGTCCTCTAAAGCAATGCTTGTCAAAGGATCTGTGAAGGGCCACCTTAAAAAAAAAAAAAAAAAAAAACTTCTAATTTGTCACAGACAAATATCTTTGTTTAATATAATAAAAGTAAAGTTGAAAAAGACAAAATACAAGCTCCAAAACTGTATTATTCTGTCAATCTTTTTTAAAAGCTTTAAACACTTAATTTCTATATTTATCTCAAGGCCGACTGGTAACAATGCTTCCTGGCCCACAGACTACACATTAAGTAGAATTGCTATAAAGAAATCTGATATTAGGAATGATGGATAGGGACTGCTTTATAATAAAACCAAATAAAATTAAAAACTAACAATCCTTCTCATATTGATGATGTTTCATTTACATGGACCTCAGTAATTCAAATGGGATATTAAAAAAAAAAAACAACAAAATAGCCAGTATTTTGAGCCCTTCATAAAATCCACATCATTGAATTACTACTTTGAAAGTCTACTGAGTGAAGGAGTATATTTTAACTTAGTATTTTAGTACAGAGCAGTACAGAATAACTTTTATACTGTAGAACAGTCACTAAATAAACTATGAAAAACAACCAATAAGAGAAACCTCCCAGGTTTACATATAAATTATTAAATGAAGTTCCTCACACTAATCTAGCTACAATATATTTTAGAATACTTGAATTTAACAAAACCTGTTGCTACTCCAGACGGCACTTCAAAAAAAAAAAAAAGTGTTACATATTATAGCTGTATAGAGCTAAAGAGAAAGTCCAACAGTATAAAGCCAATAAAGTCAATAATATATTAAAAAGTTCAGTTTTTCTTATAGAATGTGCTGTTCTGTGCTTAGGCGCTCAGTCATGTTCGACTATTCACACCCCATGGACTGTAGCCCACCAGGTTCCTCAGTCCATGGGGATTCTCCAGGCCAGAATACTGGAGTGGGTAGCCTTTCCCTTCTCCAGGGGATCTTCCCAACCCAGGGAGTGAACCTGCATCTCCTGCATGTCCCGCATGGGCAGGCGGATTCCTTACCACGGAGCCTTCCGGGAAGCCCATAAGGACTCACAGCATAGAGGAAAAACTTTTGATAAGACCATATATATTATTTTAAAGAAGGAGGCCTCCGTTCTATTGAGTTTGTAGAAAAATATACTGTTGACTTACAAATAATGAAATACCCAACTCTTTGTGTCACATCCCCAGCTATACCAGAGGAAGGAAAAAAATCAGCAGTGCTTCCTCAGCATTCCTCCACTCCTCCACAGCAGCATGCATGAAGGCATGGAGATAGGAACACGCATGGCGGAGGGGGAAGAGGAAATGGATTTTTTTTTTAACTCTATAATACTGTGGACCAGACGGCAATGGAAAAATGAGAGAGTAAGAGAGCATGGAGGCAAGAAAATAATTGCAAGGTCAAGCCCACAGAGTAGTCACAATAATGATACTACAAACAATAACAATAAGAAATAACTGAGCTCCTATGCTGTTCCCAGTACCACAGAGGAGGCTTCAACATACACCTCATCTGGTTCTGACGAAGTCAACAAACGTAAGTATTATCGCTTCTCCTTACATAGGTATGGCACCTGAAACTCCGAGATATTAACTTATTCACATGAGGTCACAGAGTCAGCAGCTAGCAATGTTTTGGAGTAAATGATGACAGATTGTGATCAATGATGATAGACAGACATGTGTATGTGTTTATCACAGCTAACAGAAACACCTGGATTTTAACCTATGACTATCTCCAGAGCCTGAACTACCTAAAAAAAAATTCTTATTAATGTTTACAAAAGATAACCTGATTTACTATATCAATAGACTAATAAGGAGTCTATTAATATTAAACTAATATTTAATAGTTTATTATTTATTATTAACTAATAATTAATATTAAACTAATATTAAACTAATAACTTATAAACTACTATAAGTTTAGCAGGAACTTAATGAATGTAAATTCAATGAAAGAATAAATGAAAGAGGGCATCCACACAAAAGATGAACAGGCTTTGTTTTTTAATTTTTTTTAAGGAAAGAGTAGAAACTCTTTAGCCTTTCTTACTGTTACCTTCATTCTCTGAAAGAAAATGTTTTCTTAAAACTACATTTTAATCTTCAATAAATGTTTGTTTTGTAAACTTTGGATAATTAATACAATATTTGAAGGTAAAAAGAACTATCTTGTAGTGTATATAGATCCACTAAAGATGTTGGAACAATTATTACAGGAAAAAACACTGTAAAATTCTTTATTACTCACAAATAAGGTGTTCAGATTTATAAGGAAGATGTTAAAATTGCAAAAAGAATAGCATATTTTGAAAGGCACTAAATAAAAGGAATGCTAATTATATCCTATAAAAGGCACATTCAGAATATGTATGTATTCTCTGCATAAAATTGTGTTTTGTTTCCTTTGTTTTGGTACTCACACACTTCAGATTTCATTTGCAATATAGATAAAGTAGAAGGAGAAGAAAAGGGTTAATATTCCATGCCTTGCAAAAACCCTTAGGAAAAAAAAATTATCAGCTGGGTTAAAACAGAACCTGTTAGCCTATCTCTTAGGCTACCCCACAGTTGCCTTAAAGACTTGTTTTGCTGTGGTTTTGAACCTGAGTGTGTGATCGAGCCCACGGCTTCCAACAGACCAAAAAAACAAAAAGAGTTAAAAGGCAAATACAACAGTACACCAAGGGGCAGAGACAAGGCTCCCTTAGCCCATTCCGTAACAAACTTGTTGCCAGGCCTGTCTGCACCATCCTAACTCCTGTGTTTCTCTGGCCTTGAGCCAAGAGTATCATTTTACTCCCAGTGAAGAAAAAGAGTTTCATTCTTCCAATCTTGTACTACTTTCACCCCGACCTTGTAATCTTGTTTTTCCACATTTTCTAGCTACTCAAACAAAAGCCTTCCCCCCTAAAATATGCACAAAGGATCGGGAAAAGAGGAGAATAAGAAGGAGGTGTTCTCCTGATAGATGGTACTCATAGTACTGGGCTCTATTTTAAACACTGATAAGGACAAGCTGAAAGCAGGGACTCTGCTTGCACCCTGTGAATTCAGGTAGCGTATCCATTGTTCCACTCGCTATGGTCTGGTGACAGGAACCCCAACTAGAACAAGCTTGCCCTGCATTTTCCTTTCATTTAGATGTCAACTTTGATAAGGTCACACCTTAAAAGATCCACATAGCAGGCAACACACAGATAGCAAGAAAGCCTTCAGCCATTCCCAGACTCAGATAAGCTGGTAAAAAGAGGAGGAAATCAGGACAACATTCACAAGGCAGATTTACACAGGCATCCAATTTGTAACCATCACTCCTTAGATCCTTCCTCACACCAGGGACCTCAGCGGAGCCAACAAAAGTCGTGGAGAGACTCCACTCCTCTCCCTCCCTGAGTCTACCCCAGAATTTTCTTGAAGGAGCTCACTGCTTTGCCTCACTAGTCTCCCTGGAGGAGAATCCAAAAGAATACCTTTGTGGCTTTGTTTCTCTCCATTCCAACGACTCCCTGAAGTGGCCAGTTCCTGACCCTGTATTCCCCGAACCTCCCTGAAGATTTGAGTCCTCTCCTAGTGCAGAGCCCGCTCCCATGAGCTACCCATAGAAACCAATTCCCCAACTGCCTTCCCTCCCAATCATTCCCCAAAGATCCAATCCTCTTCTCCCCTGCTGTTTTCCTTTCCACCTGCTCCCTAAAGAACCTGACATCACTATTAGTGAAAATACACAAGAGGTTTGGGAAGGAAGGGGGAGAATACCACTGAAGTGAAGGAAAGCGGACACACACACACACAGGGTGAAGGAATGATATTCTAATTCCTGAACTGGTTTTTCTCTTATCTGAAAGTTTTGTTTACATACAATACATTACATCACCTCTGATCAACTCAAACTTTCCCAAATCATTGGATGAAGTGATTTTATCTAAAACATTTGAAGATGTATAATAGATGTGTATTTCCTACCAAAAAACAACACAGCTTACAGAAAGTTTACCACCTTATAAAATTGTCACAAAAATCAAGACAGTGCAAAGATCCTTCTTAATCTATCAAACACTGAAAATCAAAAATCTGGGGTGAAAAGAAAACCTCTTCAGAAAAATTACTGATAGACTGGCATCATGTTCAAAATCTCTGTTGTTAGATTGTTCTGCTGTAGCTTACAGTTTAACCAAACTCTATCAGAAAACGATTTCATGGTAACATTGGGACTAAGAGCTTAGAGTGTTGAAACAACTTCTTTCACACTATTTACTTTTTGCCTATTTTAGATAATAAAACATCACTGGGACAAAAGATAAATGTATAATCTGTTTGAGAATATTTTCTTCATACTTTAGTAATCAGAAATATAAGTGATTCCATCTTTCCTTTCAAAGATATAAATTTAGCTAAACTTACTTTACTTAAATTGTTAAACTTCCTCATTCACTACTTTTTTTTAAAAAGCTGTCCAACTATAATGAATGAAAATAATAAATCAAGTAATTAGCATTTAAATATGTTAACACTGATCCTATTTAAAATGTTTTCCTATGGCTTCTTAAAAAAAAGCAATTTATGGAAAGAGGGGGCCAAATTGTTTCTAAATGAAAAGGTGGTCTAACCACTCTTAAGGAAATACACTTGTTTTCAGTAGATTTTCCATTCTGATACCAAATATCTAAAAGCCCTTTGCCACCTGGAAAATCTAAAAGTAAATTATCTTAATTCTCATTCTCACATATCTTGCTCACACTTAGTACCAAGATGAACACATTAAATACCACATGTACTTAACGTCGGATTAATATATAATATTTGAACAATAGTACTAAAAAGTATCTCACCAGTTTTAAATAGTTTTTCAGCTAAAATATTTTTTAAATTATAATGCAATTTTTATTCAAAATATCTCATTGCACTCAGTCATAAGTTAAAGAAGAAATACATCATGCTATTGATAAATGAGAAAAATAATAAATTCAGAAATAATTATATCATAAGGTCTGGAGAAGGCAATGGCAACCCACTCCAGTATTCTTGCCTGGAGAATCCCATGGAGAGCAGAGCCTGGCAAGCTACAGTCCACGGGGTCGCAAAGAGAGGGACACAATGAGCCACTAACACACACACATATCATAAGGAGGGCCGAACTAGCCTGTACAGATTCAGAAACACTTAGGGTTCTCTCAGATACACACAGAAAGGTCATCACAAAACACCTGGATTGTTCATAAAAGACAAACGAAATAAAGGCCCTCTGAATATTCTCTATAATCCCTTGCCCTTGAGAACTTTAAGGCTCAGCAAGACAAAAAAAAGAAAGAATTACTTCTTACTTGGGTGAAATTCATTACATGTATGTCAAGAGATGATAATTACAAGGTTTCACGACTTTAAGGTAGTAGCTTTTGAAAGAGGGGAATCTTTGATCCCAGACATACTATATGCTTTATTGCTAAGTATATATAGATTACATACATTTTTCCAGTTCCAATAAAATCTCCAGATTCTAAGTGTAGAATTGTCTCTATATAATTCTCTCACTATAGAAGGAAGAGATTTAGTTATTTGTAGTGAGAACCTGACTCAAACTTAATAGGTAACACAAGTGAATTGTGATTCAAGTTGAGATAGTACAAGAACTATATTCCTCCTTTCATGTGCCAGAGGTTTCAGTGATAATTTAGATAATTTGATACTTTATGTATACATATATATATCTTCCTCAGAAATACAAAGGGGAGAAAAAAGAATTAAACATACATCGCATGTATATATCTCTATACTCCCAAGAGAGATAATATAAAAATCCTAGGCCTTTCATGACAACATTTTTGAGAATTTTCAAAAATAACTAGAACATGTTTTGATGCTGTTCTCTCAGATCATCCATGGCTGATTCATGTCAATGTATGGCAAAAACCACTACAATATTGTAAAGTAATTAGCCTCCAACTAATAAAAATAAATGAAAAAAAAATAAATAAAANCTAATAAAAATAAATGAAAAAAAAATAAAATAAAATAAAAGCAGAAAAAAAAAAACTAGAACATGGTAGAGCATAATACAGCCTGAATTAGAAGTCAAAAGTCTTGAAATTTATCTGTTTACTTGGACAGTTCCCTAACTTTTCAGTGTCTGTTTTTAAATCTCTAAAATGAAGGGGATTGAAATATCTCTCAAAAACTATGATTAAATAAAATGAAAAGTATCAAGGGCATGATCCTAAATTAAGCGGACAGTAACATAAAGACAACTGGGACACCAAATTGAATTGTCAGAGGGTGGAATGCATATAAATTGAGGGAAAAATGATTGAAATTGCTAAATAAAAACCCACAAGACATCCTTTTCGGTGTGTAACTCACTGAATATTCCCCAAAGTATTCATAATGAATGTTATGTCTGATGTGAACCAGAACAACACTAGTTGCTGAGAAATGAGATAATGAAAACTATATAAGATATGGAATTATTTCATTAGCGAGTAGGGTATTTGTTTAAATTGAACAGAAGTCCAGCACAACTTTACTCATGTCTTTTAA